CAAACATAAGTGTGGTTTATCCACACAACTATCGCAGAATGTTACAACTTTTACAGTACTATAGAACTATAAATCAATCCCAGCTTCAGTGAAGCAGTAAGTATTGTGTCAACGACACGCGAATAAATGACTGATCGGAATAAGAGAAATGCAGTTAAAACAAGTTACAGTAAAGAAAAATTGCCCATCACGCCGCGTGGGGCGTATACGCCCCACGATTAAATGAGGGCATCAGCAATAGTATTAAGATGTCCATAATTGACTGCATAATGAATTTTTTAAAAATTCTTCATTTTACAATGATAATACCAAATGGCTTGAACGGAAAGTTCAGCGTGGGGCGTATACGCCCCACGCGTCAGGGAACGTGTTAATAACAATGTATCGAAAGAAGGAGACCGAAAATTTCCGATCCGCATGAGAAAATAAACCGTTCTATCACGATATCGAGTCAAGTGTCAGCTGTATCGAGAGCCGCGCAGCCGGTTGTTCCGTGAATTGCTTTTCCCGTTAAAATGTATCGCGCTCGGTATCGATCGCGTATGGTAATGCCATGAAACTTTCATAGGGAAAATTTACGGTACGGTACACTCCGTGGCCATTTGGCGAAACCAGTGAAACGTAGCGGGGCCCCAACGTTTTTGTTTTCGGTTGGTTTCCACGTGGCCGATGTCAATCCGCTGCAACGATAAACGGGTCCTATCAAAATTATTTCCCGCAACCGTAGATCGTATCAACACCTCACGCGTGTAGAACAAAGTCTGTCTTATTAAACAGATATTAAATTAATTGCTGATCTAATCGTCGCGAATTCGTTATTCTCACCGGACAACAATCGGAACTTGCTTGGAGAGACTTTGTTAGCACGATTCCGTGATCGATGTTTCGAAGTTCATTCAACTACACCATGGCGTTTGATTTTCTTGGGTTTCTTTTCTGCGTCAGGCTCTGAAAATATGTTTTCTCGTCCTATTTACTTGCAATCCGATCATTTGTCGGTAATTACGGAATAACACGTAGCAATGAAATCGTATTAAACGTTGCGATTTCTAAGAAAATTAGTAAAGAAATACACAGTGCGTTGGTTGTGAAGTATAATGCTTGATTGGCACGGTGAGTCACAGAGTCACGAGGAAACTGTCCAGGTCGTTCGCTGAAAATAGTTCCCGGAGACAGAGTTCGATTCGATTTGGGCGAGACGAGGCGCCATTGGGGGCGTCGGATGTCGCAAAACCTTGTACAGGCCTGATTTATCGGAACACAGTTGTCCGCGGAGTTTATGCGACGTCGATGCGTATGTTTTTCCTCGT